ATATATATATATATATATATATATATATATATATATATGGGATGAATCACTCTACAGCCTGTCAACTTCTCCAGGCTTATCCAAGATATTTGGTAGCATACAGGGAAAATATGGAAATGCCCTTCTGGCTGGATGTGACAATATGGAGACAAATTACAGTGATCTTCACCTGCGGGTTCTTCTGACACTGTTATTATACTCTCAGGCTTTACATGAGCTTTTATCTATTGCAACGTCATCTGAACTGAGCCCAGAGATAGTTTTTAGCTTAGACATAATTATGTACCTGATTAAAATGCATCCAGTTCAGAACAGGACTGCCCCAATCAAAAGCTCTCAAGCGACTAGAATTAAAAAGCTGAAAGAAAAAATTTTTAAAGTAAGATTATACTCGTGTTTATTAGCGCGGCAGGGGATAGCGTGAGGTGTGCGTTGAGTATTGTCTGTTGGTTCATACGCAGGTAGACTTCTTTGCTTCTCCCTTCCCTCGTAAAGGGCAAGAAATGGAAGAGGTAGGAGACGGGGGGCAGGGGATGTACAGAATATGATCCTATCATCTTCATATAAATGCATGTTTCCCCCGACGTCTGCTACCTTATTAAAGGGGGCCGGTGTGCTTGGGGACAATGTCAGGCTTCCCAAGAAATCCCGTTTCATCCACAGAGGTCAAAAGTGAGCGTCTAGTACTAAGTGCACTAGGGCTAAAGTGATACTTTCCTAAACACCTCGCTTCAAACAACAGCGCTCGAAAGAATGGGCCAGAAGCCATCCCTCGCTTCACCCTCCATGCTTGCAGCCTCACCACCACTACCTGCTTTGAACTTACTAGGTCTAATCTGATCATCCCCATTTTTTCCCCCTGACAATGTCTTCACTGCAAGGAGGTTCAGACTCTCGGGTTACTATTTTTTCTGGGATTCTACACCTGACAGGTCTCCATACACCCCCTGCCCCCAAATCTTGTCCCATTCTAATTCCCCCCAGCTCTAAAGCCCTCTCTACCATCGGGAATTCGTCATCAGCCTGTACCTTAAAACCCATTTCTGATGGGCTCCCTCACCTCCTTGTCGTCTCGACCACCTGATTTCCCCGAGAACACTGCTTCCCCTGCAGCTCTTTCCTGCCCCCAAAATGGCCAGGGTTATTTACGACCTTAACATTTGTAGAACTTTGGTCAATTCGGAGAAGTTTTCCCATTTCACCTACGAGCAGCACTTGACAGCTGTTCATTCTATCGTTGAGAACTTTTTTTCACTCGGCTTTTACAATACCATCATTTCTTGATTTTCATTTTTCTCTCACTACTCCTTTTTTTGTCTCTTTGGCATATTCATCCAGCCTCTGCTTCCTGACCTCTGAGTCTTTCCATGTCTCAGCCCTCCAGCCTTGCTCCCCTTCTCCCTATCTGTACTCACTCCGTGTTCTCATCCGGTCTCTTGGCTTTCAAAGGCGTCCGTGTTCAAAACGTCCGTCTTCTTCTGTGAGTCTCTTCTAATCCTAGACTCCTGTATGCAACTGCTTCTTCAGATTAATCATTCGGATGTCTCACACTTAACATCTCCAAACTACAACCTCGTATCTTTCCTCCAAACCCACTCCACCCCCAAACCTCCCAACCTTCTTTAATGGCAATTGGATCGTTCTGTTGCTTAGGCCAGGACCTCTGGAGTTATCCAAGACTCTCCTCTCTCTCCTCGCGTAGAATCCATCATTAAATGTCCTTGGCTGCGTGTTTACAAAACGCATGTAAATTCAGAATCCAACCCTCTTTACCACCCTTCCTGGGAACACATCAGTGCAGGCCATCACCGATTCTTATTTGGATTACAGTAGTAATCTACTAACTTTCTCACGGCTTCCACTCTTGCCCCACTTCAGCCTATCCAACATGGCACCCAAAGTATTCCTTTCTTTTTTTTCAAGTAAACTCTACCCCCAACGTGGGGCTCAAACTCACGACCCTGAGATCAAGAGCCGCACACTGTGCCAGGTGAGCCAGCCACGCGCCCCCAAAATGTAAATTAGATCATGTCCCCTCCCTGCTCAAAACCCTGCAGGGGCTACTCACTTGAGCTAGAAAGCCAGAGTCCTAACAATGGCGCTCTTGTTTCTTTCTGGCTCTATTCCATTTCTGCCCCCTTTTCCTACTCCTCCCTCCCTTAATCACTGACATCAGCCGGAGGGACCTTGTAGCCGTGACTCTCAGAAATGCTCCCGACTAACAGCCTGTATACCGGCTATTCTGTCTGTACGGAATCCTCTTCCCGAGTTGTTCACGTTGCTAACTTTCTCAGCGCCTTTAAATCTTTTCTCACATGTCAGCATCTCATTGAGGCTGGCCTGTGTCTCTATTCAAAAACACAATCCCCTGCCCTGTATGCCTCATCTCTTTATCCTCCCTTCCCCCCTTTATTTTTCCATAGCTTCTAGCCCCTTCTTAAGTTTCGATGATTTACTTACTTGCTTTGCTTCTTGGTTACTGTCTGTATATCTACTGCTAGAATGTGAGCTTAAGGAGGACAGGGATACTTAGTTTGTTCACTGGTAAGTACAATGAGCTTAGAACAACATAGGGCACATACTAGGTGCTCAGTATGCACGCAAAGGTTGCTTCTATTTCCTGCCCTGGCTATCATCAGCAATGAGCTAAATCTAACGGTAAGCTGAAGATTTTTAATAATTTACCTCGAAAGCAACCACTGAACAGATTAAAACAGTAAAAAATTTTTTTTTAAACATTTATTCATTTTCAAGAGGCAGAGAGAGACAGAGTGTGAGCAGGGAGGGACAGAGAGAGAGGAGACACAGAATCTGAAGCAGGCTCCAGGCTCTGAGCTGTCAGCACAGAGCCCGACCCCACGAACTGAGAGATCACAAGCAGGGCCGAAGTTGGGCACTCAACTGACTGAGCCACTCAGGTGCCCCTAGATTTAAACATTTTTAAATGAGAAAGCCCTTAACCAATATCTCAATGAAACTTTTTTTTTTTTTAATTTTTTTTTTCAACGTTTATTTATTTTTGGGACAGAGAGACAGAGCATGAGCAGGGGAGGGGGCAGAGAGAGGAGACACAAGTCGGAAGCAGGCTCAGGCTCTGAGCTATCAGCCCAGAGCCAGAAGCCTTGAGCCTCGAACTCACCGGACAGCGAGGATGACCAGCTGAAGTCGGACAGCTTAACAGGCCTAAGCCACCAGAAGCATGGCTTTAAAGTTCTTTATTTATTTTGAGAGAGAGAGAGAGAGAGAGAGAGAGAGAGACAGAGTGAGCAAGCAGAGAGGGCTGAGAAGAAAGGAGAGAAATACAGAACCAGCAAACTGTGAGATCATGACCTGAGCCAAAATCAAGAGTCAGACACTTAACTGATTGAGCCATCCAGGTGCCTCTGTGTTGATAAAAATATTAGGCTTGAACTTTCATGAACGTGAGATGTAAGCCTGGGCAAACTGGATGCTTACCCGACTTAGCCACCTGGCGCCCCTATCTCAACAATACTTTAAATTCATCGGTGTTTATTAAGTTTAAATAACACTCATAATCATCGCCCTGTTTAACTCTCATAATTTTTGTTAGGTCAGAGCATTATTATTAACTCCATTTTTAAAATGAAGGAAACTGAATTCATAGAGATTAAATGAGCTTGCTCAGCCTCTCACTGCCAGTAAAGTTCAGAGAAAGGACTCAGCATCTGGTGTTTTGATCTCAAGTACAGTGTTCTTTCTAGAATCTCATCCTGGCTCTCAACATTGACATGATACTCACACTGGATTTTTTTTCTTCGCCAATATGCATTCAACAAACATTCTTAAGTGTCTGCTATTTCCCCAGAACTCTCAGCCTTGCAAATACAAAAGTGAACAAAACTGGCTCACGGCCCTCATGGACTTCACAGTTTCACAGAGGAGAAAGTGTAGTCCAGTGACAGACTAGACATTGGGACACCTGTGTGCTCGTCTTAGGTTTTTTTTTTTTAAAGGAGTAGCCTTGAATTTTGGGGCAAGTCAAATGAGGGGCATGACCTAGATGATTCCTAGTCTATTATTCTGAATTATTAACATTTTCTTATTTGTAAAACAGAAAATAATTATATTGCTCTGATCATTGCTTAGGTTAGAGGGCCGGATAGATTATGATATTAACGTATTATAATCTATGAAGAATTACACGAATATGTAAGTTTCATTTTATCCTTCCAAATTTATCATCCTATGGCAATGGCATGATTCCGAGAATGAGGGGGATAAACCAAGAGTAGTAAAGATTAAAATCGTACTAAAATGCACTTTAAAAGTTATAAAAGTTATACCTGACTCCAGTGAAGCATGTTTTGAACAGATGTCCCTGCTGGGTTATGTGACATGTACACATCCACACGACTCTGAGGGGTTAAAAAATTATTTTTATGCTTAGCCCAATCATAGAGAACATAATCTTTGATATTTATTAAAGTAAATAATTGTAAGAAAATGTAAAGTTATTTTTAAACAAATAATATAAACAAAAGATTAAATTATATTCCACTAAATACATAAATGTACTTACTACATGTGTAATTTTTACATTAATGTAGAAGCTATTATGAGATTTCTAAATTACATAGTCCGTCATCCCATATGGAAAACATTCAGAACTCTTGGAACTCACATAGATATACATCCTTTTTGAAGGCAAAAGAACAGAAAATATAGGAAGAAGTTACCAGGGGGCACCGGGGTGGCTCAGTTGGTTAAGCATCCGACTCTTGGTTTCAGCTCAGGTCGCGTTCTCATGGTTTGTGGGTTCGAGCCTCACATCAGGCTCTGTGCTGACAGTGTGGAGCCTGCTTGGGATTCTGTCTCTCTCTGCCTCTCTCTTTCTGCCCCTCCCCCACTCGTGCATGCTCTCTCTCTCTCAAAATGAATAAATAGACTTAAAAAATTAAATTAAGGGGCGCCTGGGTGGCGCAGTCGGTTAAGCGTCCGACTTCAGCCAGGTCACGATCTCGCGGTCCGTGAGTTCGAGCCCCGCGTCAGGCTCTGGGCTGATGGCTCGGAGCCTGGAGCCTGTTTCCGATTCTGTGTCTCCCTCTCTCTCTGCCCCTTCCCCGTTCATGCTCTGTCTCTCTCTGTCCCAAAAATAAATAAAAAACGTTGAAAAAAAAAAATTTAAAAAAAAAAAAAAAAATTAAATTAAATTAAGTTAAATTAAATTAAAAATTTCCAGGAAAAATAGACAAGAAAAAAACCAAAGACCCCTCAAAAAAGCAAAGTACTGAAGCCAGTTTTCCTTCAAGTTCTTTGCCAGCCTTAGAGGATCTGAAGCTTCATTCTGAGAACTTAGCTAGTTGAAGAAAACAAAAATCAGCCCAGGGCCTGCCAAAGGCAGTTGGGAGATTTAATAAGAAACTCTCTCTGTGACAAACTGGGGTCCCGAAGTTTCACACAACTCAAAAATGAAGCGACCACAAATAGAGCAGCCTTCATGTCAACCTAGGTTTGCATTGCCTACAGGGTCCCTGGGAACCTCAGTCAGTGACCAAGACATATAACGTCAATGTTATCCTATCAACGTCGCAGCATGTTATTTTAAGGAAATCAACAACCCCCAGACACTTCTAAAGTTCAGATGGAGAAGCAGAAGACCCAGAATAGCCAACACAATATTGTGAGGGAAGAAGAAGGTTGGAGGACTGACTCTAATTGACTTTAAGACTTCCTACAAAGCGACAGTGATCAAGACAGTGTGGTATTGGTGAAAGAATGGACAAAGAGATCCATAGATGGAACAGAGAGCCCCAAAATAGACCCCCATAAATAGAGTCAACTAATCTTTGACAAAGGAGAAAAAACAATGCAATAGAGACACAACAATCTCTTCAATAAATGGTGTTGGAACACCTAGATAGCCACATGCAAAAAGAAAAAAACAAAAAGAATCTAGACACAGACCTTACACCCTTCACAAGAGTGAAAGGAGTCAAAATGGAATACACACCTAAATGTCAAACTCAAAACTATAAAACTCCAAGGAGGTAACAAAGCAGAGAGAATCTAGCTGGCTTTGAGTTTAGTGATGACTTTTTAGATACAATACCAGAGGCACAATCTGTGAAAGAAAATAACTGACAAGCTGGCCTTCAATAAGATTAAAAATTTCTACTTTGCAAAAGACCGTATCAAGAGAATTAGACGACAGGCCGCAGACTGGAAGACAATATTCGCAAAAGGTACATCTGTAAAGGATTGTTACCCCCAAAATGCAAAGAACTCTTCAAACTCAACAATGAGGAAACAAACAACCCAATTTAAAAATGGGCCAAGACTTTAACAGGTACCTCATCAAATAGATACACAGATAGCAAATGACCATGAAAAGATGCTCGACATTATACGTTATCAGGGAAATGCAATTCAAAAGAACAGTAAGAGATGACTATACACCTGCTAAAATGATAAAAGTCCAATACACTGTGAGCACCAAATGGTGAGGATATGGAGAAGCGGGGATTCTCATTCATTGCTGAGGGTAACGCAAAATGGCACAACCACTTTGGAAAACACATTGGTGGGTCTCTTATAAAGCAAAAGGAGTCCTTAGCATACAATCTAGCAATCACACTCCTTGGTATTTACGCAGAGGAGTTGAAAATGTACATTCACACAAAATCTGCACACTGATGTTTATAACATCTTTATTCATAATTGTCAACACGTGAACCAAAATGTCCTTTAGCAGGTGCATAGGTAAACTGTGATACATCCAGACATGAGAATATTTTTCAGCACTAAAAATAAATGAGCTACCAACCCATGAAAAGACATGGAGGAACCTTAAATGTGTGTTACTAAGGGGAAGAAGACAATCTGAAAGGGTTACAAACTGTGGGATTCCAAGTAGGAAAAGACAAAACTGTGGGTACAGTGAAAAGATCAATGATTGCCAAGAGCTGAGTAGGCAGGGATGAATCGGTGAAATACAAAGGATTTTTAGGGCAGTGAAACTATTCTATATGATACCATAATGGTAGATACATGTCATTATACATTTGTTAGAATGTAGAACGCCAAGAGTGAGCCCTACTGTAAACTATAGATTTGGGGTACTTACGACGTGTCAATGTATGTTCATCAGTTGTAACACATGTAGCACCCTGGGGGTCATTACCATGCCCAAGGCCATCTAGGTTTTTTCCTCATGTTATCTTCTAGGAGTTTTACAGTTTTGCATCTCACATTTAGCTCTATGATCCAAATTCAAGTTAATTTTGTGAAGGGTGTGAAGTTTGTGTCTAGAAATTTTTTTTGCACGTAGACATCTGCTTGTTCCAACTCCAACACCATTTGTTGAAGAGACTATCATTTTTCTATCGCATGGCCTTTTCTCCTCTGTCAAAGCTCTGTTGATGATACTTATGGGGCTCTATTTCTGGGCACTCTATTCTCTTCCACTGATCTAGTAGTTTCTTCTCTCACTCATTCCACACTATGACTGTAGGTGACTGTAGCTTAATAATAAGTCTTGAGGTTGAGTAGTATCAGTCCTTCAACTTTGTCTTTCCTTCAATACTGTGTTGGTAACTCTCAGTTTTGCTTCTCTCTATAAACTTTGGAAGCAGTTTGTCAATATCCTTAAACTAACCTCCTGGGACTTTGACTGCGATTGCATTGAATCTATGGACTAAGTTGGTAAGAATGGGCATCTTGACAACTTCTCTTTCTTTGAATGAATAGATTGGTTCTCACTGAGAAATTATTAAATCGTACAGGTGCAGGAACCAACCACTAGTCTAAATGCTGCAACTGCCCCGGCCAAATCTGGATTTTTAAATCTAATGTGCTGAAAAAGTCTTAGAGTGAATGCCTACATCTGTAATAGAATGTAGATACAACTAATCCATAGGGCCTCGGTAATAGGGGCTTGAGCACTGAAACAGTTTTCCACTGCAGGAATTTTGACAAATGCCAGGAGCATGTAAGATAATTAGCGGGCACTAATGCTAATTACAAAGAGATCAACAAGAAAGGGAAGGAATGTTAGGAACCAAGATATAAGAGTAGAAGCTGTGGGAGGGCCTGGGTGACTCCGTCAGTTAAGTGTCTGGCTCTCGATGTTGGCTGAGGTCATGATCTCACGGTTCATGGGATCGAGCCTCACGTTGGGCTCTGTGCTGACAGCATGGAACCTGCTTGGGATCCTCTCTGTCCTCTCTCTCTGCCCTTCCCCCCACTCGTAGTCTCTTGCTCTCAATATAAGTAAATGAACTTAAAAACAAAAGAGTAGGAGTTGTGACAAACAAGTGATAGAAGACAAATACAAGAAATTTTGGGAAACTAACACCCAGAAGCAAAGACCAGTAAAGATACCCATCACAGCAGCTGCCCTCTGTTCTTTACAGAGAGCAAGACAAATGCGAAAGCAAAATTATCTCAACATACTAACGCTGATCAGTTTCAGAATATTGGTACAGTCACAAAATCAGAAAGACTGAGAATCTAACTATCAGTATATATGGGAAAATCACAAAATAACACACAAGGCACTGTTACGAGCTGCTTTCTAAAAACTGACAAAATACATTTCAAATTCAACTTGTTCTTACCATATTTAAGTTCTCCAGGTCACATCCATACATCAAAAACAAGACCTCACGGCAAATCTTGCCAAAAATCTTTAGTGGACACAGCTTTGCACCAACAAATCTTTTAAATGAAGTATTAGGTAAGAAGGCTTTGTTGCCAACAAAAGCCTGTAAAATAAATTTACTTTATTTGTATTTGGAAGACCAAAATAATTAATCAAGAAATGGTGTGATGAGTTCACTATATTTATAATCAAACGCATTATCTCACATTAGTTTAAAACATTTACATTAAGGGCAAAACTTGGAAACACAAGGTAGAGATAAGTTGACCACTGGATTTTCCTTCATAATAACATGTCCAAAGGTATTATAAGTAAAACCCTATTCCTTTGTAGAAACAAAAGCAAGAATCCAGTGCAAATAAAACCACAAAATTAAATTCACACATAGCCAAGACCTTTCGTTTTGAAAGGAGAGAATATTGTCATTTGGATTATCAACGATGTAGAGGAAAGGAATAACATACCTTTATCACTGACTTCCACTTGTATGCCATTTTGATTAAAGGGCTGTTTGAGTATTTAATAGAAAAAACTGGAGCTAAGGCAAAAAATACTTTGACTTTTTCAGCTATCTTTGGTATTGTGGAAAATGTTATGAAAGCTGAAAGAAAATAAGACAGAGATTAACTACTCATATGCAGTTACTACCATCGTAATAAATGACATCGTGGCAAACAAGAGTAAATTCAGGGGCGCCTGGGTGACTCAGTGGTTAAGCATCTGACTCTGGTTCAGGTCATGATCTTGTGTCATCTGTGCTGACAGCTCAGAGCCTGGAGCATGTTGTAGATTCCGTGTCTCCGTCCCTTTCTGCCCCTTCCCTGCTCTGTCCTCTCTCTCTCTTTCTTTCTTTCTCTCTCTCTCAAAAATAAATAAAGATTCAAAAAAAACAATTTTTAAAGAGTAAATCCAATAGACTTTGAATAACTGACTCGCTCATTTTTTTTCTTTTAAAAATTTTTTAATGTTTATTTTTGAGAGAGAGACAGACAGAGTGTGAGCTGGGGAGGGGCGGAAAGAGAGGGAGACACAGAATCCGAAGCAGGCTCCAGGTTCTGAGCTGTCAGCACAGAGCCTGATGCGGGGCTTGAACTCACCAACCGTGAGATCATGACCTGAGCCGAAGTCAGACTCTTAACTGATCGAGCCACCCAGGCACCCCTAAGAGTGGACATGCTTGTCTCGCTCCTGATCTTAGGGGAAAACTCTGTTTTTCCCCACTGAGTATGGTGTTAGCTAAGGGTTTTAAGTCTACAACATTCTTGAGGGTAATCCTTTTAACTTTGAGATAAAAACATTGAATAAAATGTAGGTCACTTCCTCTAGTATGACTTCTATCACAACTGGTTAGCTCTATTTATTTAAGTTAAATCCACTACTAAATGTAGGCTTGTACTCTGGTGTAAGTACTCTGATGGACTTAAAGTCCTTTATTTTTATTTTATTTTTGTAAATACTTCTTTAAGGTTTATTTATTTTGAGAGACGGAGAGTGTGAGTCAGGGAGGAGAGAGGAGAAAGAGAGCCCCAAGCGGGCTCTGTGCTGTCGGCGCAGGGCAAAAATGGGGCTCGATTTCACGGACTGTGGGATCATGACCTGAGCAGAGATCATAAGTCAGGTGCTTAACCAACTGAGCCACCCAGGCGAAGTCCTTTCTTTTTATGTATTTTTAAAAATTTTTTATATTAAATATAATTTATTGTCAAATTGGTTTCCATACAACACCCAGTGCTCATCCCAACAGGTGCCCTCCTCAATGCCCATCACCCACCCTCCCACCCCCCATCAACCGCC